ATTCCATGCTAAAGCAACTACTCACTGTGTATTGTATTTTAACAAATATCGTTTATTGTATTTCTGTACATTAGCAGTTTCTTGACAACTGCTTAAAATCCTGTCTTTTTTCACATATGAGTACCAATGACATGATGATGAGCATATGTGAATCAGAGTTAGGCGAAGGTAAGGGAATAGTATAAGGGCTTGTCAAAAGAGTCCATTTATAGATATTAGATGCTCTTTAGCACTCAGGCAACATTACAATGGTGATTATTTGGTCACTGATTAAGAACACTGACTCACTACTTGAATCATTCTTGAAAGTCATCAGTCTGAACTAGCCTGTTGTATAAGTGAGGACTTTGCATGTTGGATGTCAAAAAACTTGAATATACAAAGATTTTATGGAGAGGTGTGTTTATCAAGACTGGGCATCCACCACACCTTTGCATGAAGCTAGATAGACATTTCGGGACTGTGTAATGAAAAGACGTAACCAGTAAGTGATCACTGCCAGTTTGAGCCAAACTGTTAGCAAGGAGGTGTTGCTGATCATGCTGTACGAAATGGAGAAAACATGGTCTGTTCATTGACATTTAGGATGGAGAGGAACATCACTGGTTAGGAACCATGTTAGTGACCATGACTACATGGAGTTGGAAGTAAGCTAGCTTGCTGCAGTGACATATGTCTAATTGGATTTCAGAAAAAAACTCTGGGTTTACACAACAGCCAGGATTTCAGCACGTAGGCCCAAACATTATTTGTCATTATTGTTATTAGTACCAAAACTATGAACAACAGGATAAACTAAGGATATTTGAGTTTCCTACTATAGATAGGAAGTAATAAGCAAAAGTAGATAAGTCTACTGCATTTCAAGGGCCAGGAAAAACGATCATTCTACTTTCTAAAACATTTTCAGTGGGTTTTAGCCTGTACACTTGGATGAAGGAAGAAATGACATTGATTACTGATAAGCCTAAGTCCAGTTTGCTATTATATCAAGGATTTTGATGAGAGCTGAGCTACAACTGCTTATGGATATGTAAGCCATCTGTAGCCTGGATGAGATACACAGAGTCATAAATACATCTACAGATGGAGTTCTAGGTCTGAAAGAAGTTAATGTTGGGTATCAACGTAGGTGGGTAACAAGTAACATCCCTGAAATATGGACTAATGCCTTTATCGAATCTTTACCTAAACCCACGAAGGATTGCTCTTCTTGTCTTACAAAACATCATTTGCGAGATTTCAGAGAAGGTTATAGCAAGAAGGCTTGTCTATCTGATTGAACCACTGTTACTATTATCATTAGGTTATTACTGCAGTAGAAGAGAAACTCGGGATCAATGCTGTTGATTTTGCCTCTCATATATATAAATGAAGGCTTTGAAACTGATAAGAAAAACTTTTAGACCTGAAAGATGCCTACAATAGAGTACAACTGTCCATTCGTGCTAACAAAATGCTTAGAATAGGGATCAATGTAATGTGTAAGATGATTTATAGCTGTACTAACTACCAGAAGATACATAATGAAACATGAAATCTGACAATTAGACTGGATCACCTTGACAGTCCAACCAGGTGCTTAGTGCTAACCTTTACCATCGACATTGTGGTACACAGCAGTGACTCTAGCGAAAGCTGAAACCAGAAGCAAGGTGCAATCATCCCTTAACAGTGTGAGCAAATAATGGAGTGACACAGGAATGATTATTAATCCTGCCAAATCCACACCCATGTTGTGCATACTCAAAAATAGATAAACTGATGAGAATGGAACATCACCATTGTTAGCAAGTACTGCTATTCCCCTGCAGAAGTACCTGGAGAGAGGGGTAATCTTTGACAGACAAATCAACTTCACCAGCCACATAAGTACTATGACAACCAGAGCTACCAAAGACATCAATGCTGTGAAGGGTGTAGCTGTAAATTGAGCTGAAGAACATCACCTGCTTATTCTATTATCTGTTCCATTCTGGATTATACACTACGATGATCAGTCTGATTGCCATACAGCTTGATAAGACTGAAAAGGTACAAAACACATGTTTAAAACTGGTCACAGGATGTACTTCAGCTACCACTATCAAAGCAGCATTATGTAGCACCAACAGCACATACAAACAAAATTATTCTTTGAGCCTTGCAGGGTATTCCATCATTGAATCGTTGCCATTTTCAATTGAGACATTCCAGCTCCACAACGACCCTGCAGACACCAATCAAACAGGAGACAGTCATAAGTAGACAGGTACTTTTTAGCCACCACCATCATATCTCAGATATCCTCATTTAGCATAAGCTTAGCATAGCACTCAGGCTTCCAACAAGCAACACAAGGATGGAAATTGAAGGCATGAAGCAAACTCTCCTTTGAATAGCTGAAAGCAACAAAACATAAATAGACAATGCCACGAACATAATGTTTGCAACTGACCCACAGGTTGCATTACATAAAATTCAGATTGATTGGTCCCCAGATGGATGGCAGAAAGTAATTGCAATGTAAGACTACCATATATATGTACATACCAGGCCAACCAGGGATAAAGCTAAAAAGGAAATCTGAAAAGCTTACAATGGGAGCTCCCATATCAAATTCAGCACAACTCTACTGGCAGGATAGTGACTTCTTCTGCACTAGTAAAGTGAAAGTGGCAACCATGGAAGTTCTTCATCGATGTTCAGGGAGAAATATGCTGCTGTAAATTGAAGGACCATATGGTGTAACTAAGAAAAGCGAAAGATGGAATCAAAAGTATAGTATACACCCAGAATATCACTGGTAACATCAGCAAAGGAATTTTCTTCTACCTCCTGCAAGGCAACTGATCTCCACATTAGAGGTCAGCACTTGTTGGCATAACCTTTGGGATTGTCACATAGCACTCATTTCAACAACAAGCAATCTACAGGGCCAAGCTCAAGGCTTGTAAGTGAGGTTATATGCAGGTAAGCTACACACTCTAGCAAAGCTTATCAAAATATGGTTGTGACAGATTGCAAGGATAATCTTGCGGATAAGTTTATAGAGTGTCTGCTAGGTAAGGAATGAGACAGCATATGGTGATTAGAGACCTTATACCTCTGATCAAAGAAGTGTCTCTAATGACTTCATTAAAATTAGTAATTTTGTGTAAAGCTAGCAATAGCGATTACAGTGTATCCACCATCTATTCAACTTCTAGAGTGTTGAAAATGCTATATTAAAACGATTTTGAATATGAAAAACAAGTCACGTCGCAACCAAAGCAATATAATTTTGCCTTGGAATGGCGTGTATCAGAACTACATTTTGACATTGTTTTGTGTTCGTAGTGTGATTGCTTTTTGTAACAACCCTTTCCGATACAAAATATCCATACACTCAGATAATAAAACGTGCTCAGATTGGGAACTTAGAGCTTCCAAGATGAGTATTTCCCTTGTATTTAATGACATTGGAAAATAAAGGAATATGGATCAACTTGAGACATTAGGATCATCCAAAAAGAGACCTACAACAAGTCATATTCCAAATGTTGTAAGTAAAATGTGATATCTTGCAACAGATAAAAATATACAAACACAAAGACAAAACCCGTTTACTTGCCCCAGGCAACAGTGTGCTACATAATCAAGAAAGACCCCCCATCTGGAAAAGAGGCACACATGTACACAATTTGCCTGCTTGATATATATGTTGAACTGTTGTATATTTCAAAAAGCTGGAGAGTAAAATGGGTAATAATAGTATTCCATAAGAAGACACACTGGTCAGGTTGCCGAATGAAGCAGCTAAGCATTTCTTTGTGATCGGACTGTTGAAATATTGGCTGGCAAGCTTTCATCCTTGTACATTAGATGAATTTATCGAAATTGTGCAGAAAGAACTGTGTGTTTTGGATATGACAGTCTTAGAACAAAGTAATTTGCAATAGAAACTATGCTGTAGGGGTGTTGTCAAGATGCATAGCCGCCACACGGAGCATAACTGAACGTGGTCAATGTAAGGGCTCCAAAATAATATAAATATAATGACCCAACTCTGTACAGGATTATGCATAATAGTAACCATGTTATTTTGTGTAGTATGACTTAAAAGTTGGTTTGAAAGTTTTCCTACCACAGATTTTATCTATTTTTTACATGTGTTAGTATACATTCGTGCTTCTTTACATCTAACATTTCTCAAAAGTACTGTGTTAAAATGTTCATTTTTATTTCTTCAGTTTCAGGGATTCAAAGTAAACATTGTTTTGTGTTTCTATGTGAAACTCATTATGCTTTTGTGTTTGTTTTTTGTTAAGCACAAAGCTACACAATGGGCTATCTGTGTTGTGTCCATCATGGGTATCGAAACCTCTTTATTTTTTCTTAGCGTTATAAGACGTCAAACTTACACCTGATGCACTGTGGACAACTCATAATGTCTTTATATAAAAATCAAACTTTTATTTTTGCAAACTGAAAGCCCGGCATGGCCAGGTGGTTAGGGCGTTCGACTCGCAATCTGAGGGTCGCGGGTTTGAATCCCCGTCACACCAAACATGCTCGCCCTTTCAGCCGTGGGGGCGTTATAATGTGACGGTCAATCCCACTATTCGTTAGTAAAAGAGTAGCCCAAGAGTTGGCGGTGGGTGGTGATGACTAGCTGCCTTCCCTCTAATCTTACACTGCTAACTTAGGGATGGCTAGCGCAGATAGCCCTCGTGTAGCTTTGCGCGAAATTCAAAACAAACAAACAAGCAAACTGAAAAGGGTTTAGTTTCACTCCAATACTAGAAAGAATATAGAATCTTATCACTTCTATGTTTTTTTTTTAATTAAGAATGACAAGTCTGTAGAATGAAGTTTAATGTTATAGTCTTGATTTGTCTTTTGAGTTGTACCATTACATTGTAAAATCGAAAAAGAAATATATAGTATCTAAGATCACACAATAATAGTTAAACGTAGTATTTAATGAATTTAAGATCCATGTTTCATAGGATATTGTGTCAAGTTAGAAAATTAATGCAATGGTTGATACACCATCAACAAAGATCTTCTCTGGACTGACAGCGTGGTTTTCATCCAGTGTCAAAGATACTAGGAGAACAGCATGGAGTAAGTTTTTTTTTTTTTTCCTGAAGCATCAAATTTTTATAAATATGTATGTTTTTATATTTTTCTTGTAACAATTAGTACTTTGATCGAATACTTGTATTAAAAGTACTTACTTGCAAATTATAGTAAGAATCTAAATTTACAAACCCAGTGTGGCTGTGACATTCAGATAAACTGATGTCCTACAGGTAAGTAAGTTATAAGTATCTACAGAACACAGCATATTCAGAAAACCAATTATTATGACTTGTTTGTTTGTTGTTAAGCATAAAACTACACTATTAGGTATCTGTGCTTTGCCCGCCATGGGTATGATAACCCAGGTTTTTAGTGTTATAAGCAGTGGTGGGATTCAAATATTTTAACAACAGGTTCTCTCACTAGCAGCATGTAAAAATATTAGATATTAAAAAAAGGAGGGGCCAGAAAGCCCCCACCCCCCACCCCTCATCACTGAGAAAATAAAAATAGGCCGTCACGGATAGGGTTAAAGATTCAATTAAAAAAGTGTTTTATAATCTTTCAACTTAACAAAATTCAAATTTTTATTAATTTCTTCCATACGTAATACGTAAAGTAAAGTAGAAAAAAACAAAAAAATAAATAAAATGAATAATAACAGGTGAAAAACAAAGAAATAGAATTATTAGAGAAAGGG